CATTAACAGGCTAATAGAACTTGGCACTTGGATTCTGGTGGATGGGCAGCTACCCAGAATTTTGTTTGTCTCAATTAAAGAATCACTCTGACGAGGCCCTGGGCACCACACGGCCCTGAAAATGTACTGGGGACAAATTAAAAAGTTTGTTAACTTCTCCAGATACCAGGGTTCTAACGGCAGCATCTGGTGCCGGCACCACCTGAGTCTTCCTCTCTAAGGTGTCCCACATCATGAGAGGATCAGATGGACAGTTTCTGATGCTGCTTTTCCTGAAACTTCTGCATCCTTTTGTAGTGGTGTGCCCAGATCCATTCTAGCTGGCCTGTCACAGATTAAGGGGCACATACCCAGCCGCTATTTCTGACTGCACGAACCACATCGGATCAGGCTTGATCAATGTGACCAGGAGGCTGCCGAGATCTGGAGCGTGAATCACGTTCCACCAGCGAGCGGAAGGCGCAGAAACAAACAGGAATACGCAGTCTCAGTTCTGTTTATGCACTTGCCTTGTTATGTCTAATGAAACCACATGACAATAGCTTTCTCTCTTCTCATGCTCTTAGATGGAAATACGGAGGCCTCAGAAAGCAATGTAATACCCTTCTCCTATTTTTCAAGACTTTCATTTGCATATAAAACAGGACGGATGCTCCCGAATGCATCAGTGCTTCCTGTCAGTGCACCACACTGTGTGGACCCTTGGCACCCCGGGCACAATCCCGTCTACCTTCTCCAGGCTCCACGGTCCAGTGTCCGGGCCAGTGAGCTGCTGGGACTCTCTCCACGTACTACCTGGCTGATGGCATGGAAACAATCTCATCCACATTACCTTGAATTAGATATTGGATTTTATTCCTTTGACTAACGTAGCTAACAGCAGACAGGAAAGGTCTTCATTCTTCAAAGGGCCTTCTATTTATTTTTTCCTTGAAAAGTTAGTGTTATAAGAGGTAGAGTGTCTGTAAGTCCAGCAGGAAGTGGGCAGGTCGCTGGCCTCTTTGAAACAGGTTTCAACAATGATGCAGCTGGTTCCCTCTCCAGCCCAGAACCACGGCTTAACTTTCTTCATGTGGCGGGATGTCTTCCAGATTCTCCTCGTGGTGACCCTGCGTGACAGCACTGATCCACCCCATGGGGTCTCCTGGGTGATCTTTACGGGGACAGATCTCCACATCTTCATCCTGGGGAAATGCCGAGTGGGTTTGAACTGCTGACCTTTAAGGGGGGCGGTGAACTGGGGAACTACCAGGGTTCTGTCTTTTTCTTTATGGCCCAGTGGGTCTGGGAAGGAGCACAAGCCTGAGCTCCTAGGTAGCCAATCCCCCACGAGATACCCTCAGAGAGGAAAACTCTGTCCCTGTGCCTGGTGGATACAGGCTGAGAGCTGAGCGGGCAGCTCTGATGGTAACCTTTCTCCAGACTCCACGTACCGCTCACACAGGCTCTTACAAACCCTTTGGATACTGAGGGGGGGTCACCACCCCTTGCTCCCCATCCCAGGTTAAGGACCCGCGAGTCAGGTCTTCACGGTTTAGAAGGAGTGAGGGCAACAAAAGGTTAAAAAGAACAGAGATCCTTTTTTTGCACCCCTCTGCCCCCCAGCGTGATCTAGATCCCCCAGGAACCCACGCTGCTCCCAGCATGCTCAGTGCAGCCTGTAGCTGCACAGAAGACCTGTCAAACCCACCACAGAAGACCCAGGCTGCCTCATTCCCATCTCTAAGGGGGTCCAGGAACAGTCTTCCTGGAAGTCTCCCTCAATGGCCAGGCCTCCGAGACACAGAAGTAAACAGTGAGATTCCGCAGGATTCTGGAAGTCAAAGGTGGTTTTCTCTCCTTGCGTGTGCTTATAAAGAAGGACAGCTCCAAGAAGGCCTTGTGAAGACCGTCAAGTTTGTAACATCAAGGCCAACTTGGGGGGCAGGGTTGGCTTCCAGAAGAGTCTGTGTGCCATGGCCAGTTTCTCAAGCCAGCAGCACACGAAGTCCTGGCGGCAGAGGAAGCATATGATCTGGACCGGAATCTTCCAGCTGAGATGGGGCGATGTGGCCGGCTGAGGGAGGGAGGCAGGTGACAGAGGTTCTGGAGCCAGACGCGGCAGGGACCTCGGTCCAATAACTTCTTAAGAGTGTGAGGTGAAGGACACTTAATCGTATTCTTACTTTATGTTCTTTAAATCACCAAATTATAGCTAATTAGTTCACCCATGATCAGAAAACACTTGGGTGAAAGGACACCTCTGGGATTAGACACCTACAAAGAGCTTATTTCCATTTCTCTGAAAAGAATCAATACACACTTGAGCCCAATTAATGATTTTCTTCCTTTCAGCCCCAAAGATGTTTTTTTTCCAGCCCCAAAGTTTTATAAAATCGTCCTGCATCAAGAGAGAACCAAAAGATGATTTAAAAAATTGTTTTTTTTTTCAAAAGAAAAATTTCTTCAAGATCTAGTCCTTTGAAGTCTAGCATATTTCCCTAATGAAAATAACAGAAAGAAGATGAAATGGGCAGTGGCTCCCAGCACAGTCCGGGAACAGTACGGGGTGTGAACGCAGCCTGGTTCCTGACTTGGGAGCTCACAAGCGTCCCTGGAGGTGAGAGGCACTGAGAAGCGTGCGGGGAGGGTGAGATTGAGCGACGGGGAGGGGTGACTGTATCTGGAAGAAGCACTGAAAACATGACCCTCAGAAGCTGACCATGACCCCGGAGCACGGATGAAGGAAATGAGGAGAAGGTGTCCCGGGAGGTGTGAGGGCCAGTGGTGGCATCGTCATGTGGGACAGAGGGTACAGCTGGCTGCTGCGGGGCCAGGGAGATAGTGAGGTCGATGCATGTGGACTCAAGACATGCCCACGCTGGGCCTGGTACCATGAAGAGGCCATGGTCCACGCCAGAGGCCCAGGAGCCTTCCTGCAGAGGTGGGCCCAGTGTGGGTCTGCCCAGTTCACCATGGCGCCGGGAAGCCGGCAGCACTGATGTGACTGTCACAGGTCGGCACCGACTCTTGTGAAATGAGACAGAAGAGGTCCCCGGACACCCCTCTGAGGCAGCAGGTCAAGTGAACGGCTTGTGTCCTGCTGTGGTGACAGAGGTCCAGCAGTGGGCATGGAGGGACATGCCCAGTGCATCTCCACACACACGTGAGAGCCAAGTTCAGGCACCTTGGGGCCGGAGAGCCCAGGCCCTGGACCCAGGAATTACACTCCACAGCGGGGCAGGAGGCACAGAGCCCGCATGCATTTCAACACCACCCCAAGAATTCCCATGAACCACATTCTTTCTGTAGAGTGTCAGGAGGACAGGACAATTTCAAGTGCCTGAGATATACACCAGGGAGGTGAGAATGTCTTTTACTTAATGTGAGTTCTAATTTTCCCATTAAAATCTACCCCTATTAAGTGGGGGGCACAGAGAAACAACAATTATTTTTAAAAAGTTTTGACTGTTCAGTTTAAAGATAACGCTGAAAACACAATTTCGTCTGAAATTCAAGCTGTTTCATTTCCTATTTAATCTTGTAAATTTCCTTCTCTCACAATACTCAGGGTGGAAGGATGCCAAATTAGACCAGGAGCGAATTTTCACCAACTTCACTCCAGTGCTTTCTTTTTAGATTATATTAAAAACCTCATTAGGCTCCCTGCGGGAAAACAGTGTTAACCACAAGGGCTGGAGCAGATACACGGCAAGAACCACTAAACTGGAACGAGGACGGACCGCTGGAAACAGCTGGACGGAGGGCAGAGCGAGCGGGCCTCAAGCTCCAGTCGGGTAAAGGGCTGGAGCAGCGGCGGCGTCTCCCCCCAGGGCCAGTGAGGGCAGCTCGGCGTCCTGGGGGCTCGGGGAGGGCAGAAGGCCGGGTTATAGGAGCAGAGGGGATTAGAGAGCCAGGTTAGGGTGCCATGCTTCCATTCAATGGGGGCTTTATGAGCACGTTGTGGGGCTAGGGGAGACGGGGTGTGACACGGCATGGAGTGGGGGGGTGAACCTCGGAATTTATTGACGTACTGACACAACTTACAATACTTCAAGCACTGCTCTCATAAACACCCACTACAACTTTACAGACGAGAGGCAACGGAGAATTGCTTTCCTACTAAAACACCTGGTTTAAATAAAAATGGACAGAATTTACAACACTTTCTTCTTCCCTTTTTTTTTTTTTAAAAAAACAACAAACCAAACAAACAACAAACCTCAAAAACCAGACCAGAAAACAAAACTACCAGCCCACTGCCAGTCAGTTTAGAAGCCAGCCTCTCGCCGTGTTGGGCTGCCACTGTGAGTGCTGGCTGCCGGCTTACGGAGGTGTCACTACAGAGTAGTAGGGGGCTCGTGGTCCTATCTGAGACACGGTCAGATCGCAAACCCAGGTTGGGCCGTAGACGGTGGACCCAGGCTGAGCCGTGGATGGTGAACATGGCCATTAATTTACAGTCGGCATCCTCAGGCTGAGATTTCAGTGAAAAGTGCCTTAGTGACGGTGGGGTCGGGTAGGGGTGAAAGTCTTCCCACCAGCCCTCCAGACAGACAAGCTTCAGAAAGCCGCAGCCCCCCTGCTTCTGATGGCAGACCACACTTAGGCAGCACAGCCCCCTAAAACAAAGGCAACAGAAAACCAAGAAAACCCCAACTCTACAACCACAAGTCTTTCTTTTCCCTCAAGAACCAAGAAAGTGCTAATTTTCCCTTTACAAATGGTACATAAAATCTTGATTACAAAACTACTCAACAATTGAATCCTATCACCCATGTGATGACGCGTCCCTTTCCGGTAAGCTCTGGAGCCGGGGATGTGCGCACCAGAGGCTCCTTCTAGAAGAGAGGAGGTCCACAGACCGAGATACCAGTGCGGCAGGTGTCCAGAGGGGGAAACCGGTCCATTCCTGGGAATCCTTTTTGCACAAAGACCTAAGACTGGCCAGGCGAGAACCAGCGACAGTGAGCCCGGGCTGGGGGCCACGTACTTCCTCATCGAGTCTGTGCGCGGCGCCGTCAGCAGCAGCTCCGCCTGGGCTCTGACGGTTGTCTTCGGAGTTTGAAGCCCTTGCCACCGGACGGTGGGTTGGCATCTGTGGACGGGATTCTTCGACCTAAACCAAGATGGGGAGGGGGAAGGGGATGAGATTCAATTTTCCAAATCTCTTCACTTTTAGACACAAGCATTTTGTACATGCCAATCAACAAGTTTCACGAAAATAATTTTGAAATGGATTCTTAGATTTACGCAATGATTGCGAAGGTAAGAGATCTCTTGTATTGCTTACTGTATTATTTTTTTTCAACTTTTCTATAAATATGAAAAAAATTCTTAAGAGATCCCATGTACCTCTCTACATGCAAGAAGATGGAAGACTACCATCTTCAATACACTTCAACATCAGATCTTCACAATCGAGTCAACAGGCAACATCATGACAGAGGGAACACTGAACCTGGGAGGATTTCATCTTACTGGGGGCACCCCCATGGCGGCCTGGGTCACAGTAGCAGAGTTAAGAAATCAAAATATGTGCTACCCAGCAACTCACTCCACTGAGTAAGGAAGACTGAAGAGAATGGATGCATCGGGATGCTGGCTTCAGCAAAGGGTATTTGTGCGTGTGTGTGCGCGTGCGCGCGAGTGCAAAGACCAAACAAATCCGTCTTGCCGTGTAATCAGGAGGCTCTGTAGGGGTAGCAGAGCAGAGCTTGACGTCATATATTTCGGGCATGCTGTCAAGAGGGGCCAGCCCTTGAAAAAGAAGACATCGTCCTGGGGAAAGCAGAGGGGCAGTGCCAGAGAGGAAGACCCTCAAAGAGATGAAGTGACACAGAGACTGAAGAACGGGCTTGACAATGCTGACAATTTGGAGGACGGCGCAGACAGGGTAAGGTTCTAATGCGGTGTTCACAACGGTCACTTTGAGCCATAGTCAACCGGATGTCACCTCACAGCAACAGAGACCCTTTGACCCAGCTCCCATCAAGGTCAACATCTTGTATTTTCATGAGGTATCTGTCCAGCAAGACTTCAACTTCAGCACACCATTATTATCCAGCTCCAGAAAAATCTAACCACTTTTCCCATTAATGTGTTGTTGCTGGCTCCAGTAGTATACTGCAATTAATTTAAAAGGATAATTAAAGCAATTACGTGTTCAAAACATTTTGTTCTGAACAGACACACATTCACCTGCTAAATACAAATGCAGCCACTTTCTCTGCCACGAGACTGAAGGACTCACATGGGCTTGCCTACCTTTACGGAATGCAAGGTTCTAGAAAAGTCACCTCTGAGGAAAAGAAGGAAACACTCAACAGTCCTTAAAATCCTACTGAGAGCCAGACTTTCCAGAGCCATGGAGGCTGCATGAACCCTTGAAAGGACTGCCTTGAGATCATCTTTTTTTTTTAAATTTTTTTATTTTTTTTTTATTTTATTATTTGTGTGTGTGTGTGTGTACCGTCAAATCAGATCTGACTGATACAGGAGGAGATTGTCCCTCCTTCCTCGGCAGAGCGTCTGGTGGATTCGAACCGTGCACCTCTGGGATTGCAGTGCAGCTTCTTGCCACTAGGCCACCAGAGCTCCCCTCCTTGAGATCATCTTTAAACTTCAACCAAAAATGCCCCCTTTAGCCTTCTTTAACAAACACTAGCCTACCTAGTGAAGTAAGTGCTTCAACACTGTACTCTCTTAACATCTGTAGGAGGGTCAAACCGGTAACAGTGATGTGAGGACAGACAGGGAACTGAGGAACTGTGAGCTCGGAACCAGGAAAATGTAATTAACCTCCTATATATAATGGCACTATTTCATCCATGACATCATATACATGAAGTGATGTATGTTCTGCTGTGTGTATTCTCAACCTTAAAAAAAGAAAAATGACACCACCAACTCCATCCAACGGCAGAGGCTGGTCTCTGTCTCGGGCCACCACTGGGACTCTCCGAGCAGCTGACCAGGCGTTAGGATGCAGACACGCACAAACGCGCAGGGCCCCAGCCTCTGAGAACCCAACGGGGAGCCAAGGCCTTGTCTCCCGGTGCGGGCCTCGGACAGCTCCGTCCAGCTCTGTGGAAATCACGGCTCTTTCCTGCTCTGGAATCAGCACTGCGCACCTCACCACAATCTACCAACGCTTCCCATGCTGATGCTGTTCTGACGCTGCTGGGTGTTAGTGACTGCGCTGTGGACGGCAGCGCGGAGCTGGGGAGTGGGGAGGTGCAGGCCAGGGCCGGAGTGGCTTTCCACTTCTGGGGGTCTGACTTCAATATCAGACTGGGGTCCATCCTGCTTGTGGCAGGCAGGATGGGCAATGGGCCCTGACAGATGCTGCAGACGGCTCTCAGCAGAGGCTGGGCTGCTGGACTCTTGCACCAAAGCGGCATGAGAACCAACCAGCCTCGCTTTTTTGATCTACAAAGCAGAGTATCCATAATGAGAGGGACGGTCATGGTCCTGTCTGCCTGGAGGATGCCTCATGCACTCGTCTCCTTCCTCTCCCCCAACACCTGCACGCCTCCAACCAGCCAGCCCTGAGCCCACCACTGCACGCTGGTCTAGCCGACAATTACCCTCGGGTCCACTACACTCATGCAGGGGCAGGGCTGCCTCGTCACCTCTGGTCCCCAGTGCCTAGAATGCATGGTCCCTGGCATGTGCAGGACTTGGCACACAGGTATCTCAAACATTCAACGACATGGTGCACTTGTCAGTGGTCCCTCTGTCAGTTCTCGTGCCTGCGGCCTCTGACCTTTGGCCTCAGCATCTGAGCAGTCTGCACATAGTGTGGGTCCTCCCAGACCAGTAATATGCCCCTTGTGTGTCCTATGGTGACATTGTCACAGGAGAAGTCACTGTATTTACAAGCTGGACTGAAGCTTTTTTTGTCATCAGACTTATCATTGTGGAAAATAAAGCTGTATCACAGATACACCACTGAAATTGGGCTTAAAAGCTGGAACGGATGTGACTTTCAGAAGAGGGATGAGGAGGACATCTTCATGACCTGGGGGTTGACTGAGACTTCCTTAACAGGAGCAAAAAGTGCTGACCATTGGGGGATGGGGTGAACTGAGCAGAAAGGCCAGTTCAAGACAGGAGCTGAGGAAAAGATGGAAGTAACAGAGGACAAGGCCTCTCTATGCCACACAGTCCATGAGGACTCAAATGACTGTAGTTATTGTTAATGTGCCGTCAAGTCGCTTGCGACTCAGTGACCCTACGTACAACATCCCTAAACCCTGCTCTGTCCTGTGCCAATCGCACTGTCTCTGACACTCCCATCCCGATTACCCCAGACACTGAATCAATCCACCTCATAGAGGGCCTTCCCCTCCTGCACTGTCCCTGCACCCTCCCAAGCATGATGACCCTCTCCAAGGACCGGTCCCTCCTCACAACATGTCCAAAGTATGTTAGACGGAGCCTCATAATCCTTGCCTCCAAGGAGCAGCCTGGTTTAACCCTTTCCAGGATGAATCTGTTTGTTTTCCTAGCAGTCCATGACACCCTCAATACTCTTCTCCAGCACCACAGCTCAAAGGCATCAATTCTCCTTCTATCCTCCTTAGTCATTGTTTAAGTCTCTGATGCACAACAAGTGATAGCAAAGACCATGGCCTGTATCAGACGCACCTTAGTCTCCAGAGAGACACTGTTGCTCCTCAGTACTTTGGAGAGGTCCCTAACAGCAGACTTTCCCATGGCAATATGCCTTTTAATTTCCTGGTTACTGGTGCCGAGTGCTGACTAGGAAACAAAAACCCAACAGAAAAATGGCAAAAGACTTCCGAGGTACCTCCAAAGAAAGACCACCTGGATGCCACTGACAGGCCACAGAATGTCTGGACAGACACTCCAGGTGACTGAATGCAGACCACCAGGGGCCTGGTGACTGGAGGGGCAGCAGGGGGCTCTAGGGTGTGGCTGCATGTGGATCCGAGGGCCTCGTGACATTCTGTGCACGGAGGGGGAGAAGTCACCGAGTTTTAGACTCTGAAATGTGCACTTTGCTCAAGTCTCAAGCCAGGTAAGAAGTGAACCGGCCTGCCTGGACTGGTGGCCTTCGCGGGACCAGGAACAAGAAATCAGACCCACACAGCTTTGAACTCTTCTTGTCTCGGCCGGCACAGTTTCTACTGACATTTAAGATGAATACAGCCACCCCGATGTCTACAGGAGGGTTTCAACGTTGGTATAGTTCACTACGTTCTTGCTTTCCACACTGATGTCTTCAGGATACTCAAACACGTGCTGACCGTAACATACATGTGCCACCACAGACATGGTACGATCATGTGAACTGTGACCAAGTCCCTGCTGGCCGTCAAGAATACCAGGGGACAAATAGGGGGACTCCTGTTTCATCCCGTAAGACAGAGAAGACTGACTTGGAATGGGAAGTGAGGGGGCTGGCCCAGGGCTCGTCACGTCTGCACAGACTAGAGTACGTGAATCAGCGGCCACGTCGAAGCAGTGAGCCGTGTTACAAACACAGCGAGAGTTCCTGTTTCTCTGAACCAACCAAGTGAAAATATGATAATGAAACTAAACCCAACCACTGCCTTCCCCCAGCAATCATACAACAGGGGTCCACTCCAGCTGGGCCCCAACCTGATACAGAACCCCGAGTCCCTGAGCTCTGCCACACCCACAGCCTTGTGGCCTCTGCCTGGCACCAGTGGGCATCACGTTCTGCCTGCTCTTCCCTGGTGACTCTTACTTCCCTTAGTTCTTCCATCCCACCCTAACCTGCCTTCAGGGCTTTGTCACTGGGCACTCACGCTCCTGTCCACCTTGCTGTCACGTGCCATCCGGCAGGCGATGACTCACTCGCAGGAAGCCAACAATTAACCGCTCTGAGAGCTGCCCTGCCCCGGCCCCCCTCACCGCCTCTGACACACCTGCGCCCACGGGACAATCCCTGTGTCCATCATCGTCTTCGTGAGGACCGTCCTCTCTTATGCTGACCTTCAGCTTTCCCAGCATGCTGTCCTCCAAGGACCGGGCCCTTCCTAACACCACACAGCAAGAATGCGAGAGGAGGCTCACCATCCTTGCTTCCAAGGAGCTCCTGAGTTCACGTTCCTTAGTCCGTGGATATTCAGTGCCCTTGTCCAACACCACGGCGCAAAGGTGTCTACTGTTTGGCTAAAAGCTGAGGGCAGAGGATTAAAGACCCTGGATGAGATGGACTGACTTAGTGACTGGGGTAATGGAGGCAGGTGTGTCAGAGACAATGAGGTTGGCTCAAGACAGAGCAGCATTCAGAGTTGCTGTACATTGGGTCGCTGCAATTTGCAAGAGACTCAATGACACATAATGATAGCAATAACAAGAGAGGCTACAGATTTATGGATTCCCCAGTCCATCAGACGAGTGGGCCTGGCCTTGGCCATGACCGAGGAACAGACGCTATGTCTCCTCAGTGGAGTGTGCATTGCAGGAGGGCAAGGCGAGCCTCTCCCATTCATAGCTGTCTGCCTGAACCTGGAACCCAGCTCAGGACACACTCAGGACTGGAATAAAATGAGCAGACACAGAGGTGCCGATGGCTCGCAGCAGGGGTGCTGGCCGGAAAGGAAGGGGAGGTGAGGAGGGAGGGGTGAGGGGAAGGGAGCTTGTGCCCCCAGCCTGCCTCGAGCGAGCGTGTGACGTCCTTACCACAGTGGAACTGCACCTGTCTGCCATCTCTCCTTATTTATATAAACTCATTTTCAACGATCCTGGACTATGAAGTGAAAGCCATTGACGGGGGAGGACGGGCAGCTTCCGTGACCTCAGGGACCAAAGCTTTCACCGGAGGGCTGTGCCGTCACCTGCATCTCTAACGTCTCAGGGAGCAGCTGTCACTGGACCATGCTCATGCCCTGTTCCAGCAGGGATCCCATCACGTCAGCCTCCCAGCAAAGGGCAGCATGCCAGGCCGCGAGGCGGGGGCGCAGCACAGAGCATCGCACAGGCCCCGGATACTCACTAATTTCTATAAAGAGTTCATTTATGTTAATGGCGTTCTTTGCACTGGTCTCTACAAAGACTGCGTGGATGGAGTCGGCGTAGTCTTTGGCGTCCCTCTCCATGACCTCTCTGGAAGGCAACAAGCACAAGTCAGAAATGCCTCCTCCCAACGTCTCATGGTTTCCCTCAGCTGCCCACGTCACCAGACTTGTGATGGTATGGTAGAGGGGTCTTCCTGGTCATGCCAACACTGTGGGCCCCCAAAACCAGGGAACCAACGGGAGGCTGGGGCATGCAGGGGCTGCTCTGGGGATCATGTGGGTGGATCAGGGGCATTTGCCAAGAAACATCCTTTCTCCACATAAGGGTACTGCCCCATTCTTCACACTGGGCTGAGGCAGCGAATGCAGCAAAAGGCTGACTGACGCACAGCTGACCTTCCAAGGACAGAGCAGGACTGAGGGCTTGCTGTGTTGTACACAGCGTCACGAGGAGTCAGAACTGGGTGGCACCTAACCCCCACCCCCACCCCCCCATTCATGGGAGGTAGGAGCCCTGGTGGCAAAGTGCTCACCTGCAAATGCAAAGGTCAGTGGTTCAAATCTATCAGCTGCTGTTTGGGAGAGAGATGTAGCAGTCTGCTTACGTAAAGACCACAGACCTGGAGCACCTACACGTCAGTCCCGCCCTCTCCTACAAGCGTCTCTCTGAGGGGGTACCAGCTTCATGACTGTGGGGTCTGTTTTCTGGTCTACATCAGGGGAGCGAGAGGAGCCGCCAGCTGGCGTAGAGACGGGCGTGGGCACAGACTCCTTGGCTCTCAGTGACGATCTCCTGTCTGCACTTGAGTCTGCGTAGCCAGGACTCGGGAGCTCACAGCAAAGAGCAATTGTGTGGTGTCAGGAGAACTAAGAGTGAGGTGCTCCCTGTGGCTCTTTCCCGGGGAGGGCGGAGAACCTCGTCAGCACTGCCGTCTCCGCTCTAATGACTCACCTGACGTCGGTAAGGTCACACTTATTTCCTGCGATGGCAACGACGATATTAGGAGGTCCGTGCTGGCGCAGCTCCTTCACCCAGTTCTTCAACGTGGAAAATGTTTCCTGGAAGACAGAGGAGAGCCAATGCTTACAGATGCAACCACCAGAGGGTCCTCAAAACTGTCGGAGAGAATGTGGCCTCACCTCTTTGGTGATATCGTAGACGATGATGGCAGCCGCCGACCCTCGGTAATACATCGGCGCTAAGGCCCGAAACTGCAGGGGAAGGAGAAGAGAGACGAGATGAGGCGAGGTGGGAGACGTGAGTCACTCGGTTTTGAAGCTCATTACCCCAGAACAAGACGGGAATCTTTCTCTTAATCCAAAGAAGATGACAGGATGCTTTAAAGCAAATGAGCCAATAATTACCAGAGGCAAGAACTTCTAATGCAACACGACAGTGCTTCTTTGAAGATGTGCAGGATACAGTGTTACAGGGATTAAATACAGTGCTATAAACAATTGTTTCAGCTAAAAAGGCTTTTTAATTGAACCCAGTGTTACAATTTGCAAATTCATTTGTTCAACAGTCCTTTAAACTTTGGCTCCAAAACTATCACCGAGATAAAACGAATGCTGCAAACAGTTCTCCCGAGAAGCGGCTGCATTTGGCTGCCATCGCGATAACCTTGTAATCTAAATGCTGACTGGACTACAGAAGTGAACATGCACTGACATCTACTCCTTGCGTGAGTTTGCAACTCGCTCTGCTGATGTCTCCTTGAGGCCAGCAATCCCCCAAACGTGGGGCCTGCAGCTCATTTTATCTATAGAAATTGAACTCTGGTCTCGCGGCTCCTTCGCAATCCATCATCTGCACCCCAACATACAGCAAACGGAAGGATGAGAAGGGGAGAAGAAACACCCCCAGAGTGAGCAGGCCAGAGCCCTGGGTGAGGCCAAGAGGCAGAAATGGACATTCCTTGCCTGGTTAGCCTTGGGAGATGCCAAGGAACCAAAACTAACTGGGCACGGGGTGTTCAGGGCTCCAGGAGAGATCTTGTGCACGCTCGACCCTTACCTTACTCCCTACTGGGAAAGGCACTCAGATCACATGACACTCCGAGCTCCCATCCTGATCCTGGCTTTTGGGCTCCCCGATGCCTAGCCCCCTGGTGCATCTTGAGGTCTGGCTCTATAACTGGCACAGAGCTAGTCTCTGTCCTGTATCTGCTCAATGTATGGGCAATAGCTGTGTCAGTGTCGGGCCCAATGAGATGCCAGATTCAGAGCCTCTGCAAAAAGGATCCCATTCTGAGGTCCAGTAACACGAGATGTAAGTCTTCAGAGGGAAGGGAACAGAAGTAAATAAAGACTGCAGGCAAGCGAGGGCCCTACAGAACAGGGGGAGGACTCCATCAGGAAAGGGCCGTCAAGCTTGGGGAGGGGGAAGAGCGAGTACCAGAATGTGGTGAGACCTTCCACCCTTGATGCCTTCACAATGGGGATGCCCTGCACAGTCTTGGCTTTTTATTTTGTAGCTTTATTTTTACTCTCAAATGTGTAGGCTTAAAGCCACAGGGTGAAATGCAAAGGCCCTGAACCCACAATGTGGAAAGATGAAAGACGCACACCCACGTGCAGGTGACTGCTGCCTCCAGGCCAGGACGTAAGCCGTGCCCACCATATGGAAACAGCACTGGCGGAGCACCTTCCAACACGAGACATTTCCAGCTCCACATCACCACTTGCTGCAACTGTTCTTGAGATGTTCTCTAAATTCAGCTGGGATATACTCAAGGTCTCTTTGCTTTCCTGTCCTTGTTTATATTTTCTTCAATCTCAAGGTGAACTTGCACGGGAATAGTTGATGGCCTGTTGAGCAGCAGGTCTCTGGCCTTGTTCTGACTGATACGATTTTGCTCCACAGATAACAGTAATTTAATTGTGATGTATTTCACCCAATGAGGTCTCCATGTACAGTCAATTTTACATTGTTGATAAACTACATATTTGAATGAATAAATACCAGTCCTGTAAAATTCTATCAGGTGTTCTTGGGCATTGTTTCTATTACCAATGTGTCCTTTTCCAACTACCGATCATTCTTTGTTTCCAGCTCTCACATTCCAATCATCAGTAGTACAGGAGGAGATTGTCCCTCCTTCCCCGGCAGAGCATCTGGTGGATTCGAACTGTGCACCTCTGGGATTGTAGTTGCAGCTCCTTGCCACTAGGCCACCAGAGCTCCCCAATCGTCAGTAGTTATCTTCAGCTTGATTGCATGTCTGATCAATTTCAGATTTTTTAAAATTTAATTTTTTTAGTAAAGGCTTACAAACCATATTGGTTTCTCATACAATTAATTATTTATGGGCACTTTTGGAATATTACAGATTAGCATAATTAATGACAATGTATAATCAACTCTACTGTGTACTGCCTTTTTCATGCAGCTTGTGTATTTATTAATTTCTCCCTTCTCCCTCTTTTCCTATACCTGCCAACCTTCAAAAATTGATTCTGTCTATAGTATACCTCTCCTTAGCTTTTTATAATAGTGGCTCTATACTATGATTGTCTCTTTCTTAAACATTGATACATTCTGTAAGATATTTAAAGAAGAAACCTATGGTGGCCTAGTGGCAAGAAGCTGTGCTCTGATCCACTGAGGGCACGCAGTTCGAATTCACCAGCTGCTCCGTGGGAGGGGGATGGGCAATCTCCGCTCACGTGATTAACTGCCTCCGACAACCTGCTGGAGAGTCAGCTATGGGCTGGTTCTAACTCGACAGTACACAACAACAACAGAGACTTTTTCAGAAGAGATAAAAGGAGGAATCACTTGAAATTTCTTTTATAAAGCCAACATTATTAGAGGGTGTAGAAAAAAAAACAGTGTAAGAAAATGACAAATCAATATCCCTCCTAAACCTAAATGGAAAAAACAGCAAATAAAATTTTTTTTTTTTAGCAAATAAAATTTTAGCAAATCAAATCCACCAATATAGGAAAAAGAATACTATATACCATGATTGAATGGTTTTTTAAATGTTAAACAAATCTTGCATCCTTGAAATAAATTCCATGTAATTGGTTTAACATTTGAAAATCAATTAATGTTCTTGACTGTTCTTGCCGCTGTTTGCTCAGTGACCCCCTGCGTGCTGGCAGCTATTTCTTCTCATTTTGATCACGCTGGATCAGTAAGTGAAGATCTTGCAAGCTCTGCTCCACCCACATCATTAAGGTCCACTCTACTGCGACGGAGGGCGCTTTGGTGAATCAGTGGTAAGGAGCTGCTCTGTCAACTCAAAGGCGTACAGTTCGAACCCAGCAGCTGCTCCTTGCCAGGAAGATGGGCAGTCTCCTCCCGTGAACGTAACCCGCTGGCTGGCTCTGGCCAGACAGCGCGTAACAACTACTACTTCGCGGAGGTGGCAGCTCTTCCCGAGTATCTTCCACCGGGAGGGCTCATCTTCTGGTTCTCCATTAGACAATGTGCAGGATCCAATCGGTTAAGCAGCCGACAGCCACATCTTTCCCCTAGGTTGCTTTAGTCCGGATGTTCTGCTGGAACGTGTCCACCATGGATGACTCTGCTGGTGTTGGACACTCTGGTGGCCTCGCTTCCAGCATCGCAGCATGACGAGGGGGCTCCGGTGGCCTAGTGGGTAAGGAGCTGTGCTGCCGATTCAAAGACAGGTGGTTTGAACTCACCAGCAGTTCTGCAGAAAGGATGAGTGGTCTCCTGCCGTGCAGTTTATAGCCTGTAACACCCGCTGGAGGGTCAGCGGTCAGTGGGTTATGACTGGAAGGCAGGGGCGAGCAGGGCCGCGCTCAGCGGTCCCCACGACCCTTGTGTCTGTGGTAGTCCTGACTGCTAACTGGCCGTCTGAGACGACCTCCCCTACAGAGGTTTCCGTTTCCTTCTCTGAAGAGTGCTCATCTGCTAGTTAAACACCCTAAACACTAGTTTTACACGTTTTTCTGGCATGTCTCTTGTGTTTTACCTTTAGTCCTAGAACACAGTGTCTACTCCTACGATACTTTCTTACTTTCCTTTTGAGGTGTCAATGCAATCCCCAAGGTGTTTACCCAATCTCCCTAACTTGGCAGGGTGCAGAGCCCAAACCAATCTCCGGCCGTTTGCTGGGATCTTTGACCAACTGCTGTCTTCTGCGGGGCTCCTTAATACCACCTTCGTGCACCTGTGATTTCGGAACCAGCCGAAGATTAGAGGGCGTGTCTAGATGTTGGAGGGCTGTCCTCCTTGCTGGAACCCTCCTTTCTTGCACTGGCCTCTTCTTTTTCCAAATGCTTTTGCAGACCAAACTCTGCCCATAAGTATTTCAAACTAGAAAGACAAGTTCCCTTCTTGAATTGTAGAGGCCTGAGCCACATGGATGGGAGTGTCCACGGAGGAAAAGCTGGCTAAATGCAGAGAAATTTCCTCAATGAAGTCTCTTCCTTAGTCTTCAACCACATCTGGTTGTTCAACAGTGCCTTCACGTAGTGCTTTAGTATTTTATATTGTTTGCATATAATGAATCCTACTGCTGGTCTAGTAGTCATCACTCTGCTGTTACTAGAACTCTTCTCTACAGAGAAAACGGCTGGCAGCGCAGGAAGACTCGGGAATGCTAGTGTACCTCTGGCCCCAGAACCAGCTCCTGGTCAGGGGCTGGCCAATGTTTCTGTCAAACACTCCAAACCCAAACCTGCTGCAGAGCTGACTTCAACTCACAGTGACCCTACAGGGCACAGCAGAGCTGCCTACAGGTTTCCAAGGCTGAAAACTTTATGAAAGCCAAATGCCAAAGAAATCTTTCTCTTGTAAAGGAGCTAGGGGGTTCAAACTGCCCACCTTTCGGTTAGCGGCTGAACGATTAACCACTGAGTTCTTGGGACTACTTGGAGCTAATGTGTCTGACGGAAGGTCCTCAGCAGGGAGGAAAGCGTGACTCTGTCTCAGTCGTCCTGGACTTGTAGGGAGGATGGGCCAGTCTCTGGAGCAGTACAGCACACTCAGTAATTAGCAGGTCAGTGCAAGAGAGACTCTTCAATGAGACGGCCTGACATATGGGCTGCAGCGATCCACTCAAATACAGCAGTGCTGGTGAGGCTGGCGCAGGTGAGGCTGAAGCTGGTGAGGCTGGCGCGGGGCTGGTACAGGTGAGGCTGGCACGGGTGAGGCTGGCGCGGGTGAGGTTGGTGCAGGTGAGGCTGGCGTGGGTGAGACTGGTGCGGGGCTGGCACAGGTGAGGCTGG